TTCAAGCCACAGATGTTTTTCGGCTTCAGGGCATGTGGCCAAGTTCTCTGCTCAACCCTACGCCTGAACCTTTAAACCGTGAACCCTTTTCAAACCCTATAAGCCCCCCCAAAAACGTATAAACCCTATAAAACCTGTAAACGCTACAAACCCTATAAACCCTAAACCCTAGACCCCGCGCCTTCCTGTTCCCACAGGCGAAGAAGGCCCTGAACCCCGTGAGGTCTGATGCCCGCACGCCCTCGGCAGTCCGTGCTGCAAGCGTCCTTCCGGGCTGCTTAAGTGTCTTGGAGGAGTTTCAGGGTTCCAGGCTTCTAGGGTTTAGGCTTAAGGGTTCTACGGTTCTAGGGTTCCAGGGTTCTAGGGTCTGGGTGTCTAGGGTTTCGGATTTCGGGTCGGGTTTTGGGGGCTGTGCGTAAACCACATTCTTGAAGCAGCAAGAACTTGCGGGTTAAGGGCTTTCGGACTACTTTGTGAATTTGGACCGACATGTCAATGTTTCCTCTGGAAAGATGATCCCTGGGAATAAACATAGAATAAGAATGATCAGGACAGTCTAGCTTTCGAGTTTGGATGACTTCGGGACTGGATTGCTTGCTGAGGTCGCGTGGTGGCGTCGGTGGAGTCCCCACCGTCCTTTCTTAGGCAAGCCATGAAACCGCAAAAGCAAGCTGTAGCCTGCCCTGCCAGGGTGCCATAGAGGCACAGAGGGTAAAATGGACTTTAGAAACAACCCTGACCGCCTCCGACAGCTCCAGCTCCTCAACTGCAGGTTGTGCTAACATGTCCTTAAGGGTAGCTAGGAGGAGGTACCCAAACCCTCAAACCCTAAACCCTATACCCTACAAGCTCCAGCTTTAGGGGGAAGGGTTGAAGGCTGAGGGTTTAGGATCTTTAGAACCCAAACACGGCTCTCACGTTAAACCCCCCAGGCCCAGTCCCCGCCAAGCTCTGCATCATGGGGTTGTTCCTTGGTTGCTCAGGAATTAGGGTTTGGGGTTTAGGGTTTGTTTAGGGTTTAGGGTTTAGGGTTCAGTCTCCCCCTTATACCAACAGTCCTTACCAGGGATGTTCCATAGAGAGTACTACATTCCCTATTGAGGACTGTTAGTACCAGGGGTAACATCACAAACTTAGGCTTTTAAGGGGTTGTTATTGAGATGAATATATTGTTGCCAGGGAAATTGAGGCTGCGAGGGTTTGAAATATGGATGTCAGGGTTACGAGGGGCTATGAGGGACATTAGGTTGTTCGGATTCTTCGGGTTTGGGTTGGGATGTTCCCCCTTGAAACTACAGTCCTTGATAGGTATTAAAATCGGGGGTACTAGAATCCCTATTAAGGACTGGATTAGGTGGGCTGAGAGTACTGTTTTTTGGGGTTCAGGTTTTAGGTTTTAGGGTTTAGGGTTTGGGGTTTAGGTCTAGGGTTTGGGGTTTAGGGCTGTTGGGCCTAAACCGTCCACTGAAACGTGCCGCAGAGGGCCGATCTGCGGCACCACCGAAGAGAAGCTCAACCAACCATTCACAAACCCGAAGCCCTTTAGGTCCCAAACTCAAAACATTGTCTATTAATGGCTTGGTAGCCCAGTACCCGTATTCTAACAAGGGCACCCCTTTTGGGTTGGTTACTTTATGAGGGAACCCATAACCACAAAAAAGGGTAAAGGGTACCACTGGGCTACCAAGATGGGGTTTTAGCACCCCCGAATATAATCCCGATGAAGGACCGTTAGTATAAGGGGGGAACATCACAAACCCGAAGGCCCTTCAGATCCCAAACTCAAAGCATTGTCAAACCAAAAGTGTGCACCGAAAGCGAGCACAAAACTCTCACCAACGACCCAAAACGCCCCCCCCCCCCCCCCCCAAAAAAAAAAAACAAACACACACGCACACAAAAAAAAACAATATCAATATCAATATATATATATATACATACATATAAATACTGAAAGATCTCAGGCCGGACCCCGTCAACCCTAAACCAGCCCAGTCTAATGTTCGGGCTGCTGGATGAACCCACCCTTAGCTGCTGAGTTCAGAAAGCCCCTAAAGTGGACAATTTCAGCTCTATAGGGGATTATCATAAGCCCCCTAAAGTGTACACTTTCAGTTCTATAGGGGATTATAGTATCCCACAAAGTGTAAAGTGTACTCATTCAGCTACTAACTCACCTTCCAGGATGTGTCCCAGGAAGAGAGGACTGTAAACGCAACATGAAGGTCATTTCGGGCAATAGGCTTAAAGGTACTTTCTAGGGGTCCCTCCACATGGTACTTGGCTTTAGTACAGCTTTGGGGCGGGCGGCTCCCCTAAACCCCACAACCCTAAACCCTAAACCCTGAACCCTCAACACCTGAAGCCTAAGCTCAAGGATTCGGTACTGCCTAGGGTTGGGTGTATTCGGTGTGTACAGGCTTTAAGATTTCCCGTGGAGCATACCCTAACCCCAAACATCCCTAAGCCCCTGACTTCAAAACCTTAGACCGTAGATCTCAAAATTCGCCCTCACGCCTGAGCCTTAGCCGACCATGGAGCTCCGTCCTAGACCCTGCACCTGCACCCGAGACCCACCCTAAGCCCTCAACCCTAAACCCCTAAACCCCTCAACCCCTAAACCCCTCAACCCCTAAACCCCTAAACCCCTAAGCGCCTAAACCCCTGAACCCCCAAACCCCTAAACCCCTAAACCCCTGCACCCCTAAACCTCAAACCCAACCATAAACTCATCAGTGTCGTGCCAGGCTCGTGGTGAGCCAATCTGGCGTCGAAGACCCCAGACTGTAGGCACGCACGAGAGCGTGAGACTCGACCCACGCAGCCTCTTTCCGCTCTGGGTGTTTAGGGTTTGGGGTCTGCTTATCAAAGTCCGTGGTTTAGTTTAGGGTCTTCGGAGAATGAGACACCATTGGGGGGCCCTCGGACCTTCTTAGAGGGTTTCGAGTTTAGGGTTTAGGGTTTAAGGTATGTTGACAGTCGGACGCCCCCTGGATATGCAGCGTTAAGGTTTTGGGGTTTGCCGAGAATTCAACCGGGGACCCTGAGAAGAAACAAACATACAAAACAATTACAAAACAAGACTGCATTAAAACCGCATCACAACAATTACAAAACAAGACTGCATGAAAACCGCATCACAGCCCTCCTAAATGCACCTATAGCAACTTGCATCCCCTAAACCCTAAACCCTAAACCCTAAACCCTAAGCCCTAAACCCTAAACCCTAAGCCCTAAACCCTAAACCCTAAACCCTAAACCCTAAACCCTAAACCCTAAACCCTAAACCCTAAACCCCCCCCCCCCCCTCCTGCACCCCAGACATCTTCAGCATGGCGAGGCCCGTGAGTTCGACGGTGAACCCGCCGCTGTGACCAATCTGGGAGGGCTTTGTCGAGGGTTTTCATGAAGGGTCGATAATAATAGTAATAATAATAATAGTAATAATAATGGTAATAATAATATTAATCATAATAATATAAAATATTTCTATATATATACATATTGATTTATTTATTTATGTATTTATTTAGTTGTTCATTTACATTTGCATGTATAGACATAAATAAACATACATGTATGTATATACAGGGTGTGTGTGTGTATATACAAATTTATATTTAAATAATTAATGTATTTATATGTGTATAGGGTTTAGGGTTTAGGGTTTAGGGTTTGGGGTTTGGGGTTTGGGGTTTGGGGTTTGGGGTTTGGGGTTTGGGGTTTGGGGTTTGGGGTTTGGGGTTTGGGGTTTGGGGTTTGGGGTTTAGGGCGCACTGTAAGGGGCCCCACTTGAGCTTGGGGCTTCGAATCCGTGTAGGGGAGCTGATTTAAGCCGCTTACCAACAATGGCGCCGCTGGGGGACTCTCTTGGGGTTTGGGTTTAGGGTTAGGGGTTTAGGGTTTAGGGTTCAGGGTTCGCCGACCCTGGCGGCATGTTGGATGGGTTTGAGGAGGTGAAAACCTCCCTCCTTCCCTCCCCCCCCCAAAACGCGGGGGGGGGGGGGGGGGGGGGGGGGGGGGGGGGTAGGGGGGGTCGGTGCACAATTTTTTCGTGGAGGACCGCGCCACCCGCAAAGCGTAAACAGGCGGTTCAGCACAGGGGGGTAGGGGCGCCCTCAGCAAAATCAGCGTTTTCGGCCCCCACACCCCACCCCCACCCACCGCTTGAGCTTGTCCTGGTGCTCCCCCCTACCCCCCCCCCAAACGTTTCACAGAACTCTGCCGAGCAGGCTGGGATGATCTTCGAACCATGCGAGCGGGTTTAGACCTCTCAACTATGCTCCAGCGGGGTCGGCGGCTTGAGCCGGAGGCTCTTAAATTTAGGGTTCTTTTTTTCGGTTTAGGGTGATGTCAGTCAAGTCGCGCCAACCCCGTACTTTCGAAAGGCTTTCCTGGCCAGCTGCAGCGCTGTCTCCGCCGTGGCGTACTTCAGCTCGAACTCCTTGGTAGCCCACATGGCTCCCGAAGTGATGGTCCCTTTGTGGGGACCCTAAATAACAGGCGCCGGCTTATGAAAAGGACCCCCAAAGGAACCTATCTTAAGAAATGACCATCTTAGAATATACGGTTCTCAACATGATGGTCCCATTTGTGGGCACCCTAAGTAATAGCGGCCAAAGGGACCATATTTTGGAAAAATTACCATTTCATATTTTGGCAAAATGACCATATCATCATGAGGGTACCTTTTTTGGGGTTGGTTACTTTCTAGGGGGAGCCCAGATGTAAGAAAAGAGCAAAAGGGCGCCACTGGGCTAGCAAGACTCAGTCTCGGCATTCATGGTCTTACATGGCGTGACAACAGCGTAGCGGTCGTAGCGCTGCTTGTTCCTTAGCTGTGCAGTATCCAGACACACTACAGGCTGATCTGTGGATTATATAGGGGATATGCTCCCCCCCCCACCCCCCCTCCCCCAAAAGAAAAAACAAACAAAACAACAAAAAGATAAAAGGTCCTAAGGCCCAAACCCTAAACGCTAAACCTTGAACCCTAAGCCCACGCTACTACCAAGGTTCTTGGAATCGGCACCGGTTGCTTCGAGCAGCTTTTGAAATGACAAGCTGTGGACCAGCTCGTTGGCTTCCTTGTGGTGGCCCAGTAACCATATTAGAACAAGGGCTGCCTTTTTGGGGTTGCCAGGGTTTGGGGTTTAGGGTTGGAAGTTTAGGGTTGGTTACTTTATAAGGGAACCCATAACCCCCCCCCCCCCCCCCAAAAAAAAAAAAAAAAAAGAGCAAAGGGTACCACTGGGATACCAAGCTTCTTGCACGGTGAAGGAGCGCTTGTGCAACTTGTCATAGCGGCTCGAGGCTTGCCCGAACCTGGGGTAGGTTTTGGGTAGCCCTACAGTATGAAAAGAACAACGAACTTTTTTGTGGCTTTATAAGGGTGATAGAGGGGATTCAGGGTAACATACTTTTTTTATGGCTTGATAAGGATTCTATGGGGATTCTGGGTAAGAAAAAAGTTTAAAGCGGTGTTCAAACCTTTCCCTGGAACCACTCGTTGGTGGTCTGCTTGGCCCATGCCTGCACGCCCTTGCCTTGGTAGCCCAGTGACCATATTACGATAAGGGCACCCCCTTTTTGGGTTGGTTACTTTGTAAAGGAACCCTAAACCCTAAACAATAAACCCTAAACCCTAAACCCTAAACCCGAAACCCTAAACCCTAAACCCTAGACCCTAAACCCTAAACCCGAAACCCTAAACCCTAAACCCTAAACCAAAAAAAAAGGGGAAAGGGTACCACTGGGCTACCGAGTTGCCCTGGTGGTAGAGCCACTCGGACAGGCGGTGGCCGACGGCTTGGTTGACCACAGGCGCCTCCTGTAGCTGGTTTGGCCTTTACCCCTAAACCCTAAACCCTAAACCCTAAACCCTAAACCCTAAACCCTAAACCCTAAACCCGAAACCCTAAACCCCAAACCCTAAACCCCCAAAACCCTAAGTCCTCTGCGAAGAATATTTGTATATAGGGCCCCTTATAAACCCAAATTAAGGGGAAACTTTAAAAAACAAACATAAAAAACATCTAAAAGCCAGCCTAGTGACCTAGGCAGGGAGAACAATCGGGCTTCGTAGTTCAGGGGCTTAGGCTTCAGCTGTCCTTGAACCCTGAAACCCTAAACCCTCAACGACCACAACTGCCGCCGCCAGGGCCTTTTGAGCGTGAAGGCCTCAACCCTTCAAACCCCATGTCCGGAAGCCCTTAACCCGAAGAACTGAACCCCTCAACCTCAGGGCTTAGGGCCTAAGGCTTACGGTTTCAGGGCTTTGGGTTTAATTAGGTGGGCAACCCCAAGACCCTAAGCCCTAAACCCCAAACCCTAAACCCTAAACCCCAAACCCTAAACCCTAAACCCTAAACCCTAAACCCTAAACCCTAAACCCTGAACCCTAAACCCAACTCTCCTCCGTCACGCCCGCGGCGTGCAGGGCCTGGCTCACCATCTGCGCGGTGCCGCGCCCGGCGCGCCCCACCGCATCCACCATGCCATTCCTTGGGTTTAGGGGGTTTAGGGGGTTTAGAGGGTTTAGAGGGTTCAGAGGGTTTAGAGGGTTTACAGGGTTTTGTCAGGGTTGTCAGGGTTTAGAGGGTTTAGAGGGTTCAGATGGTTTAGAGGGTTTAGAGGGTTTGGAGGGTTTAGAGGGTTTAGAGGGTTTAGGGGTTAAGGGGTTTGGGGTTTAGGGTTTAGGAGTCTAGGGGTTTAGGAGTTTAGGGGTATTTAGGGTTTAGGGTTAGGGTTTAGGGTTTACAAGGTCCAGGAAGAGGGTGAGCATGCCAGCATGCCCCTGGAGCCTTACATGGGGGGGGGGGGGGGGGGCGGGGGATTTCTAACTTTGAGCAGCTTGGGGGGGGGGGGGGGGGGGACGGCGGGTCGGTTTCGGGATCAAGGCTCTGTTTGGGGGGTTTAGGGTTTAGGGTTTAGGGTTTAGGGTTTAGGGTTAGGGTTTAGGGTTTAGGGTTGAGGGTTGAGGGTTTAGGGTTTCGGGTTTCGGGCGAACTGCCGAGCTCTGAAAAAAAGCTGTCATTGAAACCCGAGCGGAGGCCTCCCCACGAGCAACCCCCAACCCTTTACGTTTAGGGTTTAGGGTTTAGGGTTTAGGGTTTAGGGTTTAGGGTTTAGGGTTTAGGGTTTAGGGTTTACCCTAAACCCTAAACCCTAAACCCTAAACCCTAAACCCTAAACCCTAAACCCTAAACCCTAAACCCTAAACCCTAAACCCTAAACCCTAAACCCTAACCCCCCCGCATGCAGACCGAGCGCACGGATGCCTGAGGGTAGTGGACCTCGGGATCCGCGCACCACCGCGGCGTTTGGCGCGCTTCCTCCTTGTGGTGCCCAGGGGTTTGAGGCTTAGGGTTTGGGGTTTAGGGTTTGGGGTTTAGGGTTTAGGGTTTCGGGTTTCGGGTTTAGGGTTTCGGGTTTGGGGCTCCTTCAAGGGCTTCCTCTAAGGGCTTATTTTGGGCTTCTTGTTCCTTTAGGCGCTTCCTGGAAGGGCTTCCTGGAAGGGCTTCGTTCGCGGCTTCTTCAGGGCCTAAACCCTAAACCCCAAACCCCAAACCCTAAACCCTAAACCCTAAACCCTAAACCTTCAAAGCGCATGGACTCCTAGAAGGCCACACCCTACGAAGGCTTTCGCGCGAAAGCCTCGGTCCTCAGTGCATCCCAGGCCGACTGTCACAAAGGTCCGCCAGGTGTGGAAGGTGGTGTCCTGCGATAATCGGGATTATAATGGGGGGGGGGGGGGTATCCTAAACCTTAAACCCTAAACCCTAAACCCTATTAAGACCTGCTACGATACGGGGGAACATCCCAATTTGATGCAAACAAAAGTTAGGGGTTCGCTAAGGGTCCATGTACCTCACGATTATATACTTGGGCCCTAGAAAACCCTATACAGGAGGTACTGTGGGGCCCAAGAATTCCATATGTAGGTACACGGACCCTTAGGGGCAGATAGAAGGTTGCCCACAAGTTCTGAGCAGGGAAACAATTCAGTACCCCCTAAACCCTATAAGCCCTAAGCCCAAAACCCTAAACCCTAAACCCCATAAGGCCGCTTGAAGGAATGATCTACGGCGCCTACGTCACGAGTTGCTCAATTACTGAGACCTAGAAACCCTAAACACTAAGCCCTAAGCCCTAAACCCTAAACCCTAAGCTTGTCGGGTTGAGGGCTGGGTTTACTTGCTTGCTTCTCTGCTCGCTGCTGCTCTAAACTATCCGAAGCCCCATAATCCCTAAGCCCCAACGGCCCTCAAGTCCCACACCCTAATGTCCTTGAGTCCCCCCCCCCATATTTGATAAGCAAATAAACATAAATGTAAATACAAATAAAAAATATAAATATAAATACAAATACAAATATAAATATAAATATAAATATAAATATAAATATAAATAAATAATATATATATATATGTGTGTGTGTGTGATATTCTGTATATGTCATGATGTATAATGAACATATAAAATACTTAAATAACTTTATATGTGTATATATATATATATATGTACACCCCGTTTTCGCAGCCATGTCCTGGCGACTGATCATGTCGAGGATCTGCACAGCCTGGATATCACTCGCAGGCGCATTCTCCACCAAGTCCTTGCGAGCTGTCACGCCATGAGCTCGGGATTTGTTGTGTTTTTTGAGGGTTCTGAGTGTATAAATAAACCCTAAACCCTAAATTTTGTTAGGCCCTACTCAGGAATTCGGATTTAGGGCTCAAAAGGGTTTTTAGGCTTTGGGCCCTGTACAAGGGCACCGACTTATTTTCGGGAATTCCAGCACCGCCCCCCCCTCCCCCCTCCCCCCTCCCCTCCCCCCTCCCGTTTAGGGTTTAGGGCTTAGGGCTTTGGGCTTAGGGTTTAGGATTTTGGGTGGCCCAGAAGCCCTGGAAAATGTGGCGCCAGTTCCTGCACCCTCTCAACCCTCAACCTTGAAACCTAAAAACCCTACACACGCTAAACCCCAAAGCCTTAAAACCGTGAACATACCCTAAGGTCCGAGAAGCATACTGCTGGCGTTGGGGCCGGCGACCCCGGTAGAACCAGCCAGCCTCCGGGGGCGAACGTAAGCTGGGCTGGGGTGGGTTTAGGGTTTAGGGTTTAGGGTTTAGGGTTTAGGGTTTAGGGGTTGAGGGTTTAAGGGTTTAGGGTTTAAGGGTTTAGAGCTTGAACTTTGGGAGAGCGAACCAAGGGGGCGGGTTTAGGGTTTATGCCAACTGTCATGCGGACAATCTCGAAGCAACGAAGCTTACAGCTCTCTTCGAGCTGAATTTAGGGTTTAGGGTTTAGGGTTTAGGGTTTAGGGTTTAGGGTTTAGGGTTTAGGGTTTGGGGTTTGGGGTTTAGGGTTTAGGGTTTGCGCCCATTACATCTCGGCTCTGCGCTCCGGGGGCTTAGGTCTCTGGGGGCCAATGGCGTAAGGTTTTGAGCGAGGGGCTTGGGGTAACCCTGGAGGGTCCATGTACCTTACTACTTTACTACAATACTTGGGCCCTAAAAACCCTACATACGAGGAACTTTAGGGCCCAAGAATTCCCATGTTTAGGGTACGTGGACCCTAAACCCTAAACCCTAAACCCTAAACGCTAAACCCTAAACCCTACTTGGTTGGGAGTTTAGGGTTCGAGGTTTGGCTTGTCGGCCGGCATCCATAAGCACAGAACGTATATGGGGCTCAGGGCTTAAGGATTCGGGCTAGGGCGTCGGGTTTTGGGTTTAGGGTTTAGGGTTTAGGGTTTCGGGCTTAGGGTTTAGGCCTTAAAGGTTGAACGTTTAGGGCTTGGGGTTGTGGATCCCCACTCCCTCGACCTTGACACTCATAGCATCCCCTCCCCCACCCGTCGCAGCCAAAGTGCCTCTTTGTGAGGGGCCGGTTTAGGGTTTAGGGCTAAGGGTCTAGGGTTTAGGGTTTAGGGCTGCCTCATTAGCAGGTACGACCCGAAGCACATCCGACGCCTGCTCCATCTGCCAGGTGTTCATGCCTAGGTAGCCCAGCAGCGACCTACAACCATAAACCCTCAGACCCTACATCCTTAAACCCTAAGCCCTAAATCCTAAACCCTGAATCCTGAAATCCTAAATCCTAAACCCTGAATCCTGAAATCCTAAATCCTAAACCCTGAATCCTGAAATCCCAAATCCTAAACCCTGAATCCTGAAATCCCAAAAATCCCAAGCCCTGAATCCTAGACCCTAAACCCTGCTTCCTAAACCCGAAACTCTAAACCTAGGAGATAGGATTAGGGGGACCCTTGGGGATGTAGACCCTCTGAGTAACTTACTGGCCCAAAACCCAAGGGAATAAAAGTTGAAACTTTCAGAATAAACTACCTTATAAGAAGCCCAAAAGTTGAAAAGTTGGGTTTTGAGCCAGTAAGGTAAGGTCCTTGTCCAAAAGAGAGCCAGAAGAGGGTTCAGACGGGCTCCCTCTTTAAGGGGCCCCCCCCCCTTATCCTACCTAGGAAAACCTCTTCAACCCTAAACCCTAAACCCTAAACCCTAAACCCTAAACCCTACTTCCTAAACCTTGAACCCTCAACCTCTTCCGAGGCGCGCAGGGGACAGAGGCCGCTCTTCTTCTTCAGGATCTCGAGCTGCTGCTTTGCGGGCAGCAGCGGCCGCACCGGGCAAATGAACTCGGAGTCCTCTCTTTTGGGGTTTAGGGTTTAGGGTTTAGGGTTTGGGGTTTAGGGTTTAGGGTTCAGGGTTTAGGGTTTAGGGTTTCCGAGTAAGAAGAGTGCAAAAGTTTAGAGTCGGCAAAGACGAACACTTCGCAAACAAAAAGAAACTGCACCCTAAACCCCTGAAACCCGAAACCCCTGAAACCCTAAACCCCTGAAACCCTAAACCCTAAACCCTAAACCCGAAACCCTGAACCCTAAACCCTAAACCCTAAACCCTACTTAAAATTTGGCCGCAGGGGTCCTTGTACGGCTCAGGCATGTCCTGCTGCATGATGGCCAGGCTGCAGGCTGTCGTCCGTGGCAAATCTGCCACCCCTGGCGTGCACTCCTCCCCTTGGCTTGCAGGTGGGTTTTTGGGGGTTTAGGGTTTAGGGAGTTTAGGGTTTAGGGTTTAGGGCTTAGAGTTCAGGGTTCAAGGTTCAGGGTTCAGGGTTTAGGGTTTAGGGTTTAGCACTCTCAGGGTAGTTGCATTTTCCCTTAGTATGGGCCCTTCCAAAGTGACCCCTGATATACCGCTTATATACCCTATACAACCCAAGGGCCAATACTTCTTCCTTTAAAGAAGGTAGGGTACCCTGAGACGAACCCCAAACCCTAAGCCCTAAGTCCTGACACGTTGCTATTTCCCCGTGTGGTTTTCTTGGAAATATCACGGTCTGGAGAGAGTGTTTTTTTCTTGGGGGGGGGAGGGTGCGAGGGGGGGGGGGGGGGGGGGGGGGTTGGTTACGAATGTGACTCTAACCATCCCCAAACCCTGCTATTTACGGCGATTTTGCCTCTTCATGCAACATGTTGCAGGAGGATGTTTGATGTTCAGCAACACGAGGCGCTGTCACAAGTGTTCATGCCAATTGCGAGCATTCCCCAAACCCTGCTATTTGCGGCGTTTTTGCCTCTTTATACAACATGTTGCTGGAGGATGTTTGATGTTCAGCCACACAAGGCGCTGTCACAAGTGTTCATGCCATTTTGCGAACATGCCCAAACCCTGCTATATGCGGCGTTTTGCCTCTTTTATACAATGTGCGTCTCATCGAACACATCTACAGCTGGGTCTAGCACTGGCGTTGGTCCCCAAGCGGACGTCGTAGATCACTTGGGGAAAGTGTGCTAAAATGAGTGCCCTAAGTTTGAGTTCCTGGATTTCCTAAAGCACGAACCCCTCCATTTCCACAGCCACACGCACGAAGTCCTGTAATTTACAGCACTTGCCGTGTATGCCCTAAAACGTACAGGCCCGCCGCCACACGGTCAGATATCAACGTGGGACCCCCGAAGTCTTTTAGGGCTTACTAGAGCTTACGGGTTGTGCAGAGGGGAACGAAGTAACATGATAAGTCAAAACGTGACCCAAACGACAGCAGCGCTTCCTGGCAAGAGGTCCTTCTTGCCCGTCCACTTGCTGTATGCAATCCTTACTTCTCCAATAACCAAGGCGGGAAAAATGGCTAAGCTTTAAAATTCCTACTATATAAGGAAACCCAAAAAAAGCTTAAAGTTCAACTCAAGGCGAAGTAAGAATCTGGGCGTAGTAGCGCGCCGTGTCATCCTCCGTGCCCAGGGCGGCGTCGAGTCGATCCAAGTCCTCGGCGCCCGTGGTGTTCTTGATGGGGCAGACCACCCACCTTGGCTGCACTTAGTAGGGTACAGTAGCTATGAATGTAAATTAAAAGCTGCCTTATTAAGAAACCCAAAAAACCCAAAAAAAAGCTAGGGATCTAAAGTTACAGTAAAGTGCCACAAGGCCACTTGACCACAGAACTCCCCAGGAGCTGGCCCAAGCGGGTGTACTGGCCGCTTAGAGCGGAGAAGCTCTTGGCGATGGAATCCCACATGCCTTTGTAGCCCAGGAGCCATAATTTCAACAAGAGCACCCTTTTGTGGGTTGGCTACTTTATATAAAGGAACCCAGAACCAAAAAAGGCCAAAGGGTACCTTTATATAAGGGAACCCAGAACACAAAAAAAAGGCTAACGGGTACTACTGGGCTACCAAGATGCCATGAAGGAGGCTGCCTCCCAGCGAAGCGGCTCGAAGCTCCTTCCCATCCCAGTCGTCATCTGGGGCGATCTCCTCTTGGCTGGAGGGTCGTTGTAAATTAATTTTTAGCTGCCTGATTAAGAAACCCAATAAACCCAAAAAGGCTAAGGAGCTAAAGTTACAGTAAGGAGGGTTGTTATATCTTTTTTGAGCTGCCTTATTAAGAAGCCCACTAAACCCAAGAAGGCTAGGGAGCTATAGTTACATTTAGGGTTTAGGGTTTAGGGTTTAGGGTTGAGGGAAACCATAAAGGCTAAGGAGCTAAAGCTACAGTAAAGCACCACAAAGTCCTCTGTGAGCAACGCTGGCAGCGCGTCGAACAGGCGCTCGTTCCTAGGCAGCTACTTAAAACCCCCCTTCTAACCCTGAACCCCAAACGCCTAAACCCTAAACCCTAAACCCCTAAGCCCTAAACCTACACCTTAGACCCTAAACCCCAAACCCGAAACCCTGCCACAAAGCATTCGTGGGACGTTTCTTGCCCGGAGCTTTTTTCGAGTTTACGAACGAAACCCTAAACCCTAAACCCTAAACCCTAAACCCTAAACCCTAAACCCTATAACTTGCGCCACTCTGTGTCCATGCAGCAAAAGACTCATATTGGCGATGAGCTCCATGATTTTCAGCTTCCTGAGAGTAAGGGGGGTTTAGGGTTTAGGGTTTAGGGTTTAGGGTTTAGGGTTTAGGGTTTAGGGTTTATAAGGAGGGATCCCTAGAATGGGCCCTTCTTCTTATTCCCCTACATAACCCGTAAATAATCCCTATATAGCAGCCCCTATATACCTAAGTGGCCACTTTAAAGAACCCCTAAGGTTCCTCATAAGGGTCCCTCCTTTAGTCCCTTCCTGAGACAGCTGGCACAGAGGGCGTTGGGTAACCTTCCGAGTTGGTGCAACACGAAACCATCAGGACGCACCAACAGCCTGGCAGAAACCTGAAGCTACTATTTGCTTAAGAACCCCAAAAGAATAAAGAAACAATAATCCCTATATTACCCTTAATAAGGAGGAATGTTCTTTTATTTTTGGAGGTTCTTAAGCAATTAGTAGTGAAGACTGGTCCAGCCATGGCTTCGCCATTGTGGGAACCTACAGCAGTTGCCCTTTTTACCGTGGCTCACCTGTAGCGCTGGGTTGCGGTGCATGGGTCTCATGCAGGAGTGATGCCCTAAACCCTAAACCCTAAACCCTAAACCCTAAACCCTAAACCCTAAACACCATGATGCCCCATGATGTCACAAGCCACAATACGAAAGGCTCAATCGCAGCCCTGAAACTTCGGATCCCGGATCTCTAGATCAAGTGGATCTTATTCTGAATAGTTACCCACCGTTAATTCAGGAATATACCCCCAAACTTATACTAAGGATCATGATTATGAATTAGGGTATATTCCTTAATCAAGGGGTTCGGAGTCTTGGGGCATGATGATGCCCACTGTTGTTGCGAGTATTGTCGTAACTCATCTTGGTTGCTCTTTAACACTCCCCCCCCCCAATAAAAGTTTAACTTGTAGCTCCCTTAATAACAAATTAACGTAGCCTAAACTTATACAGTGATAAAGTTGTAGTAAAGTCCCACCTAGTCATATTTGGCTTATTGTACATGATTCTGATGCGGACGATGATTATGATCTTTCTTATGACGTGCTTCTTTGCGCAGGGTGAGTTAGAGTTCCTGCAGATTTGGTTGGTTCAGGCTCAAGGTGTAGGATCTAGGCCTAGGGCCGAAGTGGACACGAGCGTTCCCCCTGCGCCAATTCTGTGGGTTTTGGTCCCTTTGTGTTCATAAGGTACCAGCCAAAGGCACCCGATTGTTTTGGGGGGAAGCTAGAACGTGCACTTTGCTGCTTCTCCTTAAAGGAAAGCCGCGAACCGAACCGCAAACCGGAGCCGAACCGCCAGGAACCGCACGCACGAAGGAACCGTGTGAACCGTGAACCGCCGAAACCGCGACAAACACGAATCGCCATGGAACCTGAAGCCAAGGCCTCCAGCCTCCAGCCCTCCAGCCCCTCCAGCCCCTCCAGCCCCTCCAGCCCCTGGACGGGGTGGAGGGGCTGGAGGGGCTGGGGAGGGTGGGAGGTGGGAGGGGCGGGTGGAGGGGCTGGAGGTGGAGGGAGGGGTGGGGCAACCGAACCGAACCGAACCGAACCGCAAGCCGCAGCGAACTGCTTGAACCGGAACCGTTCCAGAGTATGTACCCCAAAACCGAACCGAACCTACACGAACCGTGGCCTTACTGTCCTTTGGGGTGCCCAAAAGGATCCCATTTGTTAGTTCAGAGAAGTCACCTCCTAAACCCTAAACCCTAAACCCTAAGCCCTAAACCCTAAACCCTGTAGCCCTAAACCCTAAACCCTAAACCCTCAACCCTCGCAGCCCTAGCAACTGTGCAGCGCAGCCACATTGCCAGCTCCATGCTCGCAAGCTGGCAAGTTGGCGGCCGCCAGAGCTTCACAATCCGTTCCAGCATGCGGCCTGCGGTCCCGAGATCCCAGAACCTCGGCTAGGGTTTAGGGTTTAGGGTTTAGGGTTTAGGGTTTAGGGTTTAGGGTTTAGGGTTTAGGGTTTAGGGTTTAGGTTTAGGGGTTAGGGTTTAGGGTTTAGGGTTTTGGGTTTAGGGTTTAGGGTTTAGGGTTTAGGGTTTAGGGTTTAGGGTTTAGGGTTTAGGGTTTAGGGTTTAGGGTTTAGGGTTTAGGGCTTAGGGCTTAGGGTTTAGGGTTTAGGGTGCAGGGTTTAGAACCTCGGCTCTGCTTGAGGTTTAGGGTTGAGGGTTTAGTTCTTTTCGTTTTCTTAAGGCGCAGTGGCCTTTTGCTGCTGCGGGGGGGTAGGTTTTAGGGTTTATGGTTTAGGGTTTAGGGTTTAGGGTTTAGGGTTCGGGGTTTAGGGTCATCTCTGGCAGCCTGAACAAAACTTTTCGCCTAAGCCCAGCGCTAACACTTGAACCTAAAGGTGTCTGGGATGGCCTGGGAGTTGACGGGGTGGTTCCACTAGGGCTTGGGGTTTGATTAGGGTTTAGGGTTTAGGGTTTAGGGTTTAGGGTTTAGGGTTTAGGGTTTAGGGTTTAGGGTCCGGGGAAGTATGGGCCCTAGTTTGGGCCCCTTGTTACATAAGCCCTCTAGCAACTAGAGATGGCAAGTCCTTCACAGTGCTCGACATGAGGGATTAGTGGCATGAGTTCGCAGAACCGCCAAGCACGAAAGATGTCTCAGTACCTACGGATGTGGCACCGAAACCTGAAACCCCAAACCTAAGCCCTTGTGCAACTACCCTGTCTGTGAGGTTGCAACCAGGGCATGATGGTCCCTTACCCTTCCTGAAAGGGATCCGAAGTATGGGTCTTTATTATTATGTAAAGTGTACACCAGGTTTAGATATACGTTGCGGCATTCTTCATAACAGTGGCCGGAGAAGGGGGCAAATGATTAAGAGACGTCGCCACATGTTAAGACCTCAGCCTTAAACTCTAAACTAACTCCCCCGGAACCACTGAACCTTCGGGCCTACATCCAAATGACTAGACCCGCAAGAGTAACCTACAAACAAAAAAGGTGCCTCTTTGGTTTAAAGTTTAGAGGGGCTTGTAAGGGAACCTAAACCCTTGAAAAGGAACTCCAGGCCTAAACCCTAAACCCTAAACCCTAAACCCTAAACCCTAAACCCTAAACCCTAAACCCTAAACCCTAAACCCCGTCTTGCTTCAGGGTTTAGTGAAGCTCCGGGCAGCCCATGGCAGCCGATGGCATTCTGGTCCGTGAGCAGGTGGCTGCCGCCCTCCCGGCGATGGAGCTGCGACGCGACTCCTCAGCTGCTAAACCTACTAAACCCACTAAACCCACTAAACCCACTAAACCCACTAACCCCACTAATGCCACTAAAGCCACTAAACCCACTAAACCCACTAGACCCACTAAACCCTAAACCCTAAGCCCTAAGCCCTTAGTCTGTCGGGTGTTTTTGGGGATGTCATTCAGGAGTCTTGGGTTCATGAGGCTTATGTGACTTGGGTTGAGATAAACTTAATCGGATTCAACTGTTAAAGCAGCAGATAGGTCAGGTCAGGGTTTAAAGCCCTAAAACCCTAAAACCCTAAAACCCAAAAACCCTAAAACCCCAAAACCCCAAAACCCCAAAACCCTAAAACCCTAAACCCGAAACTCTCAAAAGGCAAGATCGACCAGCCCAAACCCTAAACCCTAAACCCTGAACCCTAAACTCTAAACCCTAAACCCTAAACCCCAAACCCTAAACCCTAAGCCCTAAAGCCCGGGGCTCGCTTGCCGAAGCACATCAGAATCTGCTCCTGTCTGCCAGCTGAGAGTTCTCGGGGGCCCCTTCAGGATATAGGGTTTTATGGGGTAGGGTTTAGGGTTTAGGGTTTAGGGTTAGGGTTTACGTTTTAGGGTTTAGGGTTTAGGGTTTAGGGTTTAGGGTTTAGGGTTTAGGGTTTAGGGTTTAGGGTTTAGGGTTTAGGGTTTAGGGTTTAGGGTTTAGAGGCTTAGGGTTTAGGGTTTAGGGTTGAGAGGCTTAGGGTTTCCCAGTAGCCTGCGCACAACACCTAAACGCGTGAAGCGGAGTAAATCCTGGCACGGAAACAGAGAATCAGGCTCTACCTTCATAGTTCTTAACAGGCCCAAATTCCCCTAAACCCTTAACCCTAAGCCCTAAATCCTAAATCCTAAAGCCTAACTATCCAGGACAACATACAAACGCAGCTGTCAAGAGCACAAGCCCAAACGACGTCAGTTTGGGGTAACGATAGTTAAAAACAAAAACAAACACCTAGAAGCAACCAGTAATCTTATTCCCCTATATATCCCCTATATTACCCCTGCATATACCTTGTATAACACAGTCCATATCTACCTAAGCAGCCCTTACAGTACCCCTAAGGTCCCTTATCAGGGTCCTCCTCTAGCCCTAAGACATTGCCTGCAGTTCGTCCAACCCGGACCTACCTCGGAATTGCGCGTGAACCTGTTTTACCTCAGGTGGGTGCATCGTAGGGTTTAGGCGAACCCTTACCCTGAACCCTGAACCCTGAACCCTGAACCCTGATTGAGGATTCTCCTGGTTTGAGGAATGTCCCTCACCTCAAAAAAATTTCGGTGCGCCCTCAACCCGAAGCCCAAACCCCCAACCCTAAACCGTAAACCCTAAACCGTAAACCCTAAGCCCTAAGCCCTAAACCCCAAACCCTGGTCCTGCCCCTTGGGGGCAAACTTGGCGGCGTCCACATCCGGCGACATGAAGCTGGTAAAGGGCATGGCATGGTGCCAGTTCCTCAGGTTTCTCCGAGCTTTGGGTTTAGGGGTTTAGGGTTTAGTGTTTCGGGTTTAGGGTTTAGGGTTTAGGGTTTAATGTTTAGGGTTTAGGTTTTCGGTTTTAGGGTATAGAGGTATCCTGGAGCTTTCAGGTTTAAAGGCTTAGGGTTTAGGACTTATGCTGTCGCTGACGGCCGAGAACTCCGCTGCGCAACTCCCCAGGAGAAAGCTCGGAAAACAAATGGATGCCTCTTGAACCTAAATCCTCAAAAATGGAAATCTGGCTACACCTCGAAGCAGCCTGTCAACCTGGGCCGACGGGGCTTGTAGGGCTTAGGTTGGGATGTTCCTCCTTATACTAACCCTCCTCAATAGGGATTATGATTGGGGCGGATACTACAATCCCAATCAAGGACTGCTTCTTAGGAGCGCAGAAACCATATCATAATAAGGGCTCCCTTTTGTTGGTTGGTTACTTTATAAGGGAACCAGAACCAAGAAAAACATGGAAAAGGGTACCAACGGGCTACCAAGGTTAATATAAGGGGGAAGATTCCAAGGATCCTTGGTTTGCGCAGACCACACGGAGCCACACAGGCCCTACCAAGAACCCCCTCCCATGGGGAGCAAGCAAATTCCCCACACGCGAAGCCCTTAAACCCCAAGCCCCTACCTAACGGTTCAGGGTGTAGGGTTTAGGGTTTAGGGTTAGGCCCTGTAAACCCTAAACCCTGAACCCAAGCAGCCGAGCGACTCAAGTTTCGAGAGCCACCACTTTGCAGAAGGGCAGTGGGACAAAAGCTCGGCCCTCGGCCAGGAACCCCCCACCCTAAACCCTAAAGGATCTGCCCTCCAAACTCTACTTGGCAACATCTAGAAAATCTAAGGTTTAGGGTTTAGGGCTTGGGGGGGGGCGGTGGAGGAGGGTGGGGGGGGGGGGGGGGGAGAGTCGCTACTTACTACCGTGGCTCTTGGGCTTCGGGTTTTCTAAAACGTCCATGTGAGCTGTAGCCACAAAACTGTACACACACACATGTGGAGGAGCCGATGATATAATGGCCTGCCCAACTTACCCTTCATCCCTTGAAGAGAGAGGTATGCCTGCATAACGTTTGTGCACAGGTCAACCATTATTCTCCCAATACAGAACCCCCTACGCCCCAAAATAAACCCGTTACTGATCCAAGCAAAGTGCTTCTACGGTCACGTTTCATCTTAACCGAACAACACACAGCGTCCTAAACCCTAAACCCTTAACCCCAACCCAAACCCTAGACCCTAAACCCCAAACCGTAAACCCTAAACCCCAAACCCTAAACCCTAAACCCTAGACCCTAAACCCTAAACCCTAAAACCCTAAACCCTAAACCTGCGGTCTGGATGCGCTGGGGCTGTATGCACGCTGACATTCCAGGGGCCAGTCGACTCGGGACAGGCAGCCGCTTGGCTCCTTTTGTAGGTTTAGGGTTTAGGGTTTAGGGTTTAGGGTCTAGGGTTTAGGGTTTAGGGTTTAGGGTTTAGGGTTTAGGGTTTAGGGTTTAGGGTTTAGGGTTTAGGGTTTAGGGTTTAGGGTTTAGGGTTTACGGTTCAGGGTAGGGAGTAGGGCGTTAAGGGCTCAGGGTGGTTGATGGCTGCTGGGGGGGGGGGGGTGGGGTTGTGGCTTTGGTGCTTCAAAGATACTTCAACCGCTGAACCTAAACCCGCAACCCCTACTCAGAAGAAAGGCGTCTATACTCGTCTATGTTGTGGCTATAGCCCTAGAGCCTAAGCCCTAAACATCGCTATTTCTATGTAGGTGCTTTGCCAGGTTCCCTGAGAACAAAGCAATTTCCACCTTACGGTTTTAACCATACAACAGGAAGCCCAAGACGGAAAGAACAAAGAAACCAGTACTCACTGAGACCGTCACTATACTGCTGAGCAGCTTGGTGCAGGGTTCAAGGCAAACCCTATGTACTATAGCCTACGCCCCCTAAACCCTAAACCCTAAACCCTAAACCCTAAACCCTAAACCCACATCCTAGCATGAAGGCGGCTGAGCTTCTTGACATACTGAAGATCGAAGAGCTTGGCATCCTCCAGATCGCCTGTGCTGTGCGCTTTAGGGTTTAGGGTTTAGGGTTTAGGGTTTAGGGTTTAGGGTTTAGGGTTTAGGGTTTAGGGTTAGGGTTCAGGCCGGGTTCAGGGTTTAGGGTCCGGAGCGGCTTGGGGAGCGATTTTGGGGTCTATTCACGGGTTTGGGTTTCGCTTGGGGATTGTGGGGTCTGCGGGTTAGGCTTTATAAGCTTCAGGGATGCTACCTTGTGGTTCACCCTGAAGGGTCCATGTGGGCGGTTGTCAAAATTATGGTCCCTTTTTGGATCCCTATGATAATACGGCACCTAATATTTAGGGTACCCCAAAAGGGATCATAATTTTAACAACCACCCATGTACGTAATGATTGTATACTTGGGCCTTAACATACCTCCTATGCCGGGACGTTCGGGCCCAAGTATTTTAATGAGGTACATGGACCTTTCGGGTAGCCTAAACTCTACTCCCTAAATCCTAACCCTAAAACCCTAAACCCCGAACCTTAGGGTGAGCTTTCTGGCTGGGAAAGGTCCCATCTTCGGGTTTCGGGGTGCTTTTTGGGCAACCCACGAAGTTGAAGGGTGCAGGTTGGGATGTCCCCCCTATACTAACAGTCATTAATAGGGATGATAGTAGGGCTATAGTCCCTATCAAGGACTGTTAGTATAAGGGGTAACATCACAATCCTTGGCTGCACTTAGTAGGGTAGCTATAAATTAAAACTTTAGCTGCCCTTTATCAACAAAGAAGCCCAATAAACCCAAAAAGGCTGATTATCTAAAAACACAGTAAAGCACCACAGAGAATCCAAAGGTTACGGATCCGGTTTCGGCTTGGGCTTGGGGGTTGCAGGGAGAGGCTCGGAGACCTCGAAGACCCTGGAAGATCTGGACCCGGACCCAGATGCTGCACCCCCACCGCCCCGCCAAAAAAACACCACATGTATATAATATAATACGAATAATAAGAAGAATAATAATCACAATAACAATAACAATAACAATAATAATAATAATAATATTAATAATAATGATGGTGATAAAAGAAGGGCCCAAGACAAACGAGATCCACCACACAAGTGCACAATTTGGAGGGTTAAGTGGGCAGACAGGGGTTCGGGTCGCCTTTTCCAGCAAGCCCTAGACCCCAAACCCAAACCTAAACCCTAAACCCTAAACCCTACACCCTAAACCCTAAACCCTAAACCCTAAACCCTAAACCCTAAACCCTTCCAGCAAGCCCGAACCATGTCGCGGCGCCTTCTAAACTTTCGAGGCGATGGGCCACGGCGCCGTCCTTCTCGCCTTGGTACCTTGGGGCTTACTGTCGGTTAGTCGGGCATGGGGGAATGAGGTACCCCATAAAATATCTTAAAGGATATACAGGGGATGTAGGCAGCAAGCTTGGGGCCTCGTACTTAGGGGCTGAAAAAAACTGACACCCTAAAGGAGGGGTTTAGACTTTTTAGGCCCCTGAACCCTGAACCCTAACCCCAAACCCTTTTAGGGGTTCGGGTTTCAGGGTTGAGCCCTCAGCCCCGCGGCCTCTCAAAAACCCCTCCCCGAAAGGGGATCAGAAGTATGGATATAACCTTTTATGCACTTTTGTAATAGGGGTTTAGGGTTTAGGGTTTAGGGTTTAGGGTTTAGGGGCCCATACCCCGGATCCCTATAAACAAGGGTAAGAACCCCGCACTAAGGGCCCATGCTTTGAACCTAAGAGGAGCAGCTGGGGCGCCAGTTGGCCAAAGCCTCCATCTGGGCCTCAAAGGCCTGGAAGCCTTTGTCTGCTGAGCTTTTGAAAGGGAAGGTTCAACACATGGTTGAGGGGTTAGTTTTTTTTTTTGGGGTGGGGTTTGGGGTTGAGGACTTTTTTTGGGGGGTTTGGCATTTTTGGGTTGGGGATTTTGGGGGCTTAGGGCAGGGTGTTTTTTGTAAGTGGTTAGACCACAGACAAGTTTAAAAAGGTTGCGTACTCCGCCACGAAGAAGCTTGTCTGGCCCAGACCCACTTCCTCGAAGACCTGTCGGAATGAGAAGTCGGGAGCATCTCCTTTTTTTCTCAGAAGTTTGGGGCTTGGGCCCCAGGATTTTGGATCTACCTTGAGGTTTCTCCCTCGAAGTGGCTGGAGGGTCTAGGCTTGTGGGTCGAATCGCCTTTCAAACTTTTTGTTGGCCTTTTGGTAGCAGTTCGCGCACTGGCTAGTGGTAGATCGAGGCCCGAAACCCTAAACCCTAGACCCTAAAATAAAGCCGGCTGCTAGAGACAGGAGCATCTTCCCAGGTCAAGGGGTTTGGATTTCGGGTTGCTTCAATGGGGACTTGGGTTTCTTAGATTAGTTGCATGCGCCTCGTAGCACAGGCCCTAACAAGGGGACCCCTTACCCCTTACCCCAGTTGTAGCATAAAACTACCCTTAGATCACTAAACCCTAAACCCTAGACCCTAAACCCGAAGGGCCCGTGAAAGTACCCTTAGAGGGTGTGGAACCCTAAACCCTAAGCTCTCAAAGCTTTCTTCCTCCAGAGCCGATGAGGCGCAACCACTAAAGCTTAAAGCCTGAAGGGTTTAGGGTTTGAGGTTTAGGGCCTAGGGTCTAGGGTTTAGGAATCAAACTCTACTAACTCTCCAACAGTGCAAGTCTGGAAGACCCATTGGATCCTGAACCCCCAATCTCAACAAGACCCTGAAAATAAAAGCCCTCTACACCTTGAACCAAAACCCTAAGCCTTAAAGCCTAATCCCAAATACCTTGGGCTAAATCCGACGAAGTAGAGGATTACACTAAACCCTAAACCCTAAACCCTAAACCCTAAGCCCTAAACCCTAAACCCTTTAGGGTTCAGGGCTCTGAGGCTCTCAACGCTCATCCTCGAGGCTGTCTTAAACCTGCAACACCCTCGACCCTAAACCTTTTAAACCCTCACACCACCTCCTAACCTTGAAAACCTTAAACCCTAAACCCTAAACCCTAAACCCTAAACCCTACACCCCAAAACCCGTAAACCTTGAACAGCCCAAACATCCCAAAAGAAGAACCCAGGACACCAAAACCTTTTAGACCTCCAATTCCCTAAGCCCCGAATCCTAAACATCCTAAACCCCAACCCCAACCCCCCACCCCAAACCTCCCCCCCCCCCCCGCCCCGCCAACCAAGAAGCCCTAAACGCTAACCCTAAACCCCGTAAACCCCCTGAACCCTAAACCCTAAACCCTAAACCCTAAACCCTAAACCCTAAACCCCCTGAACCCTGAACCCTAAACCCTAAACCCTAAACCAAGAACTTCAGCAGAGCCTGCCTTAAAGTTGGAGCTGCAGCGCAAAGGCAGGAATCGCCGCTCCTTGTACCTCGGGCTCCCGGGGTTGATCCTACTCTTGGTACAGTAGCTCCCAAACCCTTTTTGGGTTTAGGGTTTAGGGTTTAGGGTTTAGGGTTTAGGGTTTAGGGTTTAGGGTTTTTAGGGTTTAGGGTTTAGGGTTTAGGGTTTAGGGTTTAGGGTTTAGGGTTTAGGGTTTAGGGTTTAGGGTTTAGGGTTTAGGGTTTAGGGTTTAGGGTTTAGGGTTTAGGGTTTAGGGTTTAGGGTTCATTCTACCCTTGGTAGCCCAGGTGATTATATGAGGGTTTCCGAATTGTTTAGGGTTTAAAAGGTTTAGGGTTTAGGGTTTAGGGTTCCTTAAGGTTTCCGAAATTAGAGGGTACTTTATTGGGGTCCTTAGTATAAGGGAATCCTACTATTTGGGGGGGGGGGGGGGGGGGGGGTCTATTGGGGGGGGTCCCCTATTTTCATAAACCCCCAGATGATAATAAGGGCACCCTTTTTGGGGTTGGTTGCTGTATAAGGGAACTTTGTCTTGTCTTGTCTTGTCTGTCCGCTTAGGTCCCGAATGGTCTGTTGCATTCTTGAAACGCAGGGGCCTGTGTCGGCGCACGGCACTGTGTATAAGGGAACTTTGAACAAAGCAAACATGGAAAAAGGGCACCAGTGGGCTGCCAAGTACAGGGTCAGGGGGGGCTTAGGGTTTAGGATTCTAGGCATTTAGGGTCTATAGGGGTTTGGGGATGTCAAAATTTAGGGGTTTATGGGTTTAGGCTGTAGGGTTCTTGGGTTGTCGGGTTGTTGGGCTTAGGGCTTTAGGGTTTAGTGGCGTAGGGGTTTAGGGTTTGGAGGTTCCGGGTTTGGCTTCGTTCCCGAATCCCTAACCCTAAACCCTAAACCCTAAACCCTAAACCCTAAACCCTAAACCCTAAACCCTAAACCCTAAACCCGAAACCCCCAACCCTAAACCCTAAACCCTAAACCCTAAGCCAAGGTGCAGTGTGGAGGGCTCGCTCTTGGGCAGCTGTCCGGTGGAAACCTCCGCCTCCATCACCCGCGTGAAGTCGCCGGTGGGAGCCCACCTTCTACTAGGGTTTAGGGTTTAGGGTTTAGGGTTTAGGGTTTAGGTCCAGCCCCTGTATTTTGGGGACTACCCAAATTGAGGGCGAAAGGGACCTCAGCCCTAAAACACGGAGGGTTGTCGAGTCTAGGCTAGGGTTTGTGGATTAGGCTGCTGCTGCTGGGCAGATGGCTCTCCTCAACCCAAATCAAGGATAGCCGTAAGGGTCCATGTACCTCATTATTGTATACTTGGGCCCTAAAGTCCCTTTATGGGAGGAACTTTAAGGCCTACGTACATAATAACTAGGGACATGGGGTAGTCGTATCATAGCAACAACACGATATACACAAACTAAAACTAGTAGTTGCAATTCTCCACCACCTGTATCTGATAATTCACCCCGAAAAACGGCTCCAATGCTTTGGATACAAACGCATCTTCGAGCTCCTGAAACCGAGCACGCCGGCTTGCTGGATGATGGGCATGCTTGTCTACGGCCCGTATGGAAGAAGACTCTCTCGAGCGCGGCTCGCGAAGTCCATGAACTCTAGATACATCTCTAAAGCAAGTGTCCGAGCTTGCGCGTCCATGGGCCGATATTGAGCCAGTCCTGCCCGCAACATCAGATGTGCTGGCACTGGAGCGGCTAGCGCGATAGGCGGAACTCCTCCACTGTGCATCTGCATATCCGCCCGCGCATCCAGCAGCAGGGTGACGGTACCAGTAAGCTGCCAAGCCTAGAGGGGTGATTCTCGGAGCGGTGCAACCACTCCTGTTGATGATGCGCTGCCCTCCAACAGCATGCGCGCGGCCTCAACATCGCCCAAGGCCGGACGCGAGGAGAAGAGGCGCGGCCCCCCCGGGGCGAGATTTGTTTGCATCAGCCCGGGCCTTCAGCAAAGGTGTACAATCTCAGGGCGGCCTCTTGCTCATGCCCATCCAAGTAGTGAAAGATCCCCATCTTCCACGCTGGCCTCAGCTTCCAACAGCAAGCGTGCAACATCCTCGTGGCCTTGCCGACACGCCGCTCTCAGAGGCGTGGTCCCCTCTCGCCCACGCATGTCGGTATCAGCCCGTGCTTCCAGCAGCAGCAAAGCACAATCTGCGAAGCCGCCTTTGGCTGCTTGACACAGAGGTGTCTCACCCTGACTACTGGCTGCATCAGGATCTTGAGGGCGATTCAGCACCAGCTCCACATGATCTGCCTTTCCTTCCGAAACAGCCTGCACGAGCTCATCGGCTTTTTCAGGATCAAAAGCTACCAAGGGAAGAACCACGAGGTTGACATCTATGGGAGAATCTAGCTCCAGATCATCATCAAGTTCCAGAGATGCGTGCAGGAGCTTCAGTCTAAATCGCGAGGGTAGGCCATGAGTCATCTGCAGCTGCTGCTTCAAACTCCGCACATCGCTCAGCTCCTCCACCGGTATGGCAGCCATCTCTTCCCCTGAGATTTTCCATATTCGCAGCAGCTCAGGCGACGAATCAAAAGCCTGCTTGCGCTTCATGATCCCTTCTGGACGGCTCACTCTCGCTAAAGGAGTCTCGACACGACAGAACCTAAATGGGCTGATATGAACGATTACGTCCTGACCTTCTATGCATCTCGATAACATCCGTCCGAAACCCCTAAGACCTATAGGCCCTACGCCCTAAACCCTAGCCGACATTGCGCCATCCAGTGCAGTTCGGTATAGACCTGAGTGCCCTTGGGCTCACATTTCTTCTAGGCTGCCTCTTTAAGCCTTCTCAAAGACGTCCCTGAAACTGCGGTTTAGGGTTTAGGGTTGTGGGTTCAGGGTCCCCAAGAAGGGAAAATAGAGCATCTCCCCTTGCTTCCTGCTTGAAGGGCCCAGGTTTGGGCGATGGTTGCTGGGAGGGTGAGTTGAAAGAGAGCAGTTTAGGGTTCAGGGTTTAGGGTTCAGGGTTCAGGGTTAGGGTTAGAGGGTGCGGGATCGGGACCGCCGAGACATAAACTTAAGAGATGGACGTGGGTGGCTGGGGTGGGGGAGCAAACAGTGAGTGAGTATGTGACTGACTGAGTGCGTGTGAGCCCTCTATCTCCAGGCTAAAGGAGCCCTAAACCCTAAACCCTAAACCCTAAACCCTGAACCCTGAACCCTAAACCCTAAACCCTAAACCCTAAACCCAACTTGGACCTCTCAAATTTAACTAGCCCTCAACCCTAAACCATGAAGCCTGAACTCTGAACCCTAACCATAAATTTAAAAAACCAACACTCAACAAGGCTCCTCCTTCTGGGTAATCTGGAGGCCCAGTGAGGCCCTATCCCATACTGTGGAGTAGACCCTGGAAAACAAGCATCTACTCTTTAGGTAGAAGTAGCTATAACGGTAACCCAGAACCAAAAAACATGTTGAAGTAGAGTACTCCGAAACCCAGTATTACTCTTTAGGTAGAAGTAGCTAAACTGGGAACCCAGAACCACAAAAATGTTGAAGTAGAGTACTCCAAAACCCAGTATCACAGCCATGCCCACCTGGTGCACACGTAGATGGAGAAGATCTCTTTGGCCATGGCATCCTCGATGCTTGGGCTTCTCTCTCTGTGTTAGCTTGGGGGTTTAGGGTTTAGGGTTTAGGGTTCAGGGTTCAGGGTTCAGGGTTAGGGTTTAGGGTTTAGGGTTGCGGGCTGAGTGTGGCTAAACTTTGGAACGCTTTACCCTAAGCCCTGAACCCAAGAAAGTTTATCGCATAAAGGTCACATACGTCAGCACCTATGTCAGGGTCTAGGGTTCACGTGGGCCTCTTGCTGTTGAATGGACGTTGATCGAAAACCTTAAAGCCCGAAACCCTGGACCAAAACCCAAAAACTCACAAACTCTAAGCAGCCCTAAGCCCGAACAAGTCCCAAAAACATCCTAAACCCTAAACCCTAAACCCTAAACCCTAAACCCTAAACCCTAAACCCTAAACCCTAAACCCATCCTAAACCCAGCGCTAAGGGTCCATGTATGTAAATCGGGTATGCTTGGGCCTTAAAGTACCTTCTACATAAGGACTTCGGGCCCAAGTATATAATAATAAGGTACATAGACCCTGAGGGACGATGGGTCGTGCAAGCCCAGGTCTTCCTATACAACTCAAACTCGCAACTACGCCTACGCCCCCAAGCAGCTAAAGCACAAAGTCCCGAAATGGTTAGGGCGGTTAGGGTTTAGGGTTTAGGGTTCCGGGCTTAGGGTTTAGGGTCACCCCACAAAAAAAACCTCAAATCCGTGACACCCCTGAAAAACGGGAAAGCCCGGAAAGAAAGGCCACGGGCAAGGCCCTGGCAATGGAGTTGCGTGAGACCTCCCTAAACCCTAAACCCTGAACCTAAACCCTAAACCTAAACCCTAAACCCCAGACTCTAAACCCTAAACCTGTAAGGCCCTGGCAATGGAGTTGCGTGAGACCTCGTTCACCATGGTCTGGACGATGTTTCGCCGGAGAGACGTTGCCGCGGAGTCGGTCTCTTCGTTGTCCACATCCTTCGCGCCACGAGGGCGGCCCTCAGGGTTAAGGGTTTCGGGTTTAGGGTTTAAGGTGAAAGGGTTTAATTAGGGTTTAGGGTTAAGGGTTTAGGGTTCAGGCTTCAGGGTGTAGGGTTTGGGAGATTTTGCATTTCCCTTATAAGGGGCCGGGTTTAGGGTTTAGGGTTTAGGGTTTAGGGTTTAGGGTTCCTCTCAGAGGTTTGGGGCTGAAGCATCTAGGGGGGCGTCGGGCTTAGGATAAACAACCAAAAAAGAGAGAGCCCTAAACCCTAAACCCTAAACCCTAAACCCTAAACCCTAAACCCTAAACCCTAAACCCTAAACCCTAAACCCACAATCTTCGGCGAGGCGTGAGAACCCGAAAGGCGGGAGTCTGCTAACGGCTCGCATGGACGGTTTAGGGTTTAGGGTTTAGGGTTTAGGGTTTAGGGTTTAGGGTTTAGGGTTTAGGGTTTAGGGTTTAGGATGTCTGCGGAGGCTTTATAACTCCCCAGATCTTCCAAAACGCATGAATTTGAATAGGAATCTACCCAATTTTATGCTAAGGTGAATAGGAATATACTCAATTGCATACTAAGGATCATTATGGTGAATTGGGGGGATATTCCTTAATTTTAAGGGGTTCTGGAAGATCCGGGTAGACCCTGAACCCTACAAAGGTGACAGTTGTGGAAGGTGCTGTGGCATGCTTGGGGTCACTGCATTCTGACACCTGACACAGCCCCAAACCCCTACATCAGCTTCAGACCAGCCACCGCCAAACCCCTAAGACCTAACCCCCCGAAACCCTAAACCCTAAACCCTAAACCCTAAACCCGAAACCCGAAACCCGAAACCCGAAACCCTAACCTGAAGTGCTCGTCGAAGGCTGTTGCGGCCGTGGCGCGCGTTGCAGGCCGAGATCGCAGTACGTGTGCACCTGCCGCGAAACGCACCCGCAAGTAGGGGATCCCTAAGGGTTTGGGGTTCAGGAGTTTAGGGTTTAGGGATTTAGAGCTCAGGGTTTTGGGTTTTTAGGTTTTAGTGGCCTTAGGGTTTAAGGTTCAGGGGTTCAGGGTTTAGGGTTTTAGGGTTAAGGGTTTAGGGGCCTTAGGGTTCAAGGTTCAGGGCTTTAGGGATTTTAAGGGTGTGAAGTTCAGGGTTTTAGGGCATACTGCACCGATCCTAACTACGAACTTCCCCTTACCCGAACCTAAGCCCGAAGCTTCACATCACCAGGCAACGTGTTACCTGAGGCCTTCTCGTACTCACTAACCAATCTCTCAAAGCTCATCAACTGCTCACGCACGGTGCGCTCACGATTGAAAGCAGGAAGGTCCATGATTGCTGAAAGCATCGCCAAAGATCGGGCTCGGGTTCGGGGACTGAACTGGGCAATCAACTGTCTCCAGCACTCATAACCGTTGCGATCATCGATGCCTCGCAGGATGGTCAGTGGACGGCCACGAAGCACGGAACTTAGAATGACGTACAACTTCCTGGCTCTTTCCTAGCACACAGGCGGCACGGTCGCAAGCTGAGGTGTCTCGGTCAGTCGCGGCTCAACTTCAGCCAGCTCGCGCTCGTAAGCAGGCTCTGCAAACCCTCATGTGTCAAGGGATTAAGACTCGTAGCTCTAAGGAATCACCCCTGAGAGGTTCCCATAATTTTCTCCTCATATGGCCCTTGTATTCCCTTAGAGGATCTTCAAAAAAGGATCCCCAAACAGGGTACAACCTTAGGGGTCCAAGGCAGAGCCCCAGTAAAGTAAGCCTTCTTTGAGAACTTCCCAAAGTAGGGGTGAGGGTTTCGGGTTTCTGGTTTATGGTTTAGGGTGTAGGGTGTGTTTACCGACTCCAATGGTCCAAACCCATATGGTGTGAACCCCCCAACAGGTACCCCTGGATTCCCCCGAGGGTTCAGGGTTTCGGGTTTAGGGTTTCTGCGATTGATCCAAGGTGCCGTGTGTGCTGCCTGTCCTGGCTGCGGCGGCGTCGTGGGAACTGAGGCCTGCTCAGCACGGAAGCTCAGCACAGGGAGCATTAGGGTTAGGGCTTAGGGTTCAGGGTATGTCGGGCATGTGAAAAGGGTTTGCAAAGGGCCGACAAGACCTGTGTCCTTATAGGGCCTTGAGTATGGCCTCAATTGTTTAAAGTATGTAGTCTCACGTCGGGTAAGAGTTTCTTGCGGTGACTTTGAGTTCTCGATAGTAGCCAGAGAGAAGAGCTCCCAGACGTAAGAGTGATGCAAAGGGTGCCCTTTTTGGTGTAAATGGTGCTTCGAAGGAACCCTCAACTCTAACAAAGGGGAATAGGGATACGGGGAAGTTTAAGGTTAGGGTGTAGGGCTCAACGGGGTTTTGGGTTTAGGGAATTGGGGTTTCGGCCTGAGGAGATTAGGGTTTATAGGGCTTAGGCCCTCAATAGCTAGACCCGAAACCCTAAACCCAAATTCCTGAACCCATCTTAACCGTGTAAATCCTCAAAACTCACTCTCCCAAACCCTACACACGAAACCCTCAAGTCGAAACCCCAACCCCAAACCCTAAACCCTGAACCCCCCCCAAAAAACGTCCCTAAGGGCCTGAGGCAGACTCGGAGCTACAAAGGAGGGCTCGCGGCCATCTGCCTGACAGAAGCCTGCAAGCACGGAGGCGGGGACTAGGGGGTAGGGTTTAGGGTTTAGGGTTTAGGGTTTAGGGTTTAGGGTTTAGGGTTTAGGGTTTAGGGTATAGGGTATAGGGTTTGGGGTTTAGGGTTTAGGGTTTCGGGTTTAGGGTTTCGGGTTTCGGGTTTAGGATTTAGGGTTTAGGGTGTAGGGTTTAGGGTTCAGGGTGTAGGGTTTAGGGTTTAGGGTTTAGGGTGCCTGAGACCGCGACTTCCATCCTCAAATCTGTCATGGCCAGCTTTCGGGTTTATTCTTGGGTTTCTTAGGTTTAGGGTTTAGGGTTTAGGGTTTAGGGTTTAGGGTTTAGGGTTTAGGGTTTAGGGTTTAGGGTTTAGGGGGTAGTTTCATGGTCCCTTAGTATGGGCCCTTGAAAGGGCACCCTTTGACTCCTCGAAGTGGTTGCACCCAAAGTACCTACCGCAAGGTTCCGGGGGGTCCATATCGATTACATCGCTTATGGTCTTCCAACCTTTCTCCATGTTATCAGTTGGACCAGCAATTCTAAAATCGTCCACGTAGACGACGAGGAGGAGGTCGAGCTCGGGGTGATAAAACATGGATTGCCATATTTCAGGCAACACAGCGACCCATCCAGCAGAAGTAAGCTGCTTCGTGCAGTGCTGTTCCCAAATCCCTCCGGCATCAGGATGACCGTAGAGAGCCAACATCAGTGGACATACCGTATAGCCCACACAACCCAAGGGCCCCATACTTCGGTAAGGGACCATATTGGGGGTCTAGGGTTTAGGGTTTAGAAAGAAGACGAACCTGTAAATTATGGTAGCAGTACTGTGTAACCCACAAGGTTCTATGCCAAGGGCTTGGGGCTTTAGGGTTTTAGGGGCCAAGAAGGCTGAAACCCAAGCCTCCTGCACGCCATCAAGCCTCTCTACATCAGCCCTACACGCCTAGACCCTGAGACGCGGGTTTAGGAGGGTTTAGGGGGTCTGAGCTCAACCCTAAACCGTAATACCTAAACCCTAGACCCTAAACTCTGAAGTTTAGGGGTTTAAGGTGTTGAACGAGCGGCCCCGAACGAGCCAATCAAGTGCCAAGCCCCGGACTCTTCTCCGCTGTTTTCTGGAAACCTGGGCAGCGCTAGACAACCTGAAGCCCGGCGTCCCTGAAACTGGAGGGGGGCTGGGTTTAGGGTTTAGGTTTAGGGTTTAGGGTTTAGGGTTTAGGGTTTAGGGTTTAGGGTTTAGGGTTTAGAGTTTAGGGTTTAGGGTTTAGGGTTTAGGGTTTAGGGTTTAGGGTTCCTCTATACATTCTAGGAATGCAGATCAGCCGAAGGGCATTCTTGCGCGGAAGCTCAGCTCCCCCCGGCAACAAAACAGGTGGGTTTAGGGTTTAGGGTTTAGGGTTTAGGGTTTAGGTTTAGGGTTTAGGGTTTAGGGTTTAGGGTTTAGGGTTTAGGGTTAGGGTTTAGGGTTTAGGGTTTAGGGCTACCATAGCAGGCGTGCGCATAGTAAAACCCGAAACCCATAACCCTAAGCCCCAAACCTTGAACCCTCATTCTGCTGGCTTAGTCGAAGTCTTTGGGCTTTGTTCAAAGAGGCTTGGGGCCCAGTATGGGCTTGTATAAGGTCGCCCTAAACCCTAAACCCTAAACCCTAAACCCTAAACCCTAAACCCTAAACCCTATACCCTAAACGTCTTTGGAAAGGGGGGAGGGGCCTTCAGAGCTGGCGGTGTTTCGGTTTTCGGGTTTAGGGTAAAACCACAACTCGCAAGCCCCCAGTTGGATCCAATGTCGTCAGGATTCTGCAGGTGCAAAAAAGGAGGTTTAGGGTTTAGGGTTTAGGGTTTATGGGGTTTAGGGTTTAGGGTTTTGGGGTGCTGGTTTCCATCACTCTCACACACTAAGCCCTACACCCTACACCCCGAACCCTAAACCCTCAACCCCAAATGCAAAAACAACGCGAACTGACTGCGCTCAGAGCGTTCAGGTTGTGTCCTTGCGTGAGGAACTGCTACCACAAAAACACATCGGCTTTTTCTGCCTTAAGAGGCAACATCCTGAATTGAGGATTTCGAAGCAGCAAAGTTCGTGCTACAAACAGCCAGGGAGCGCGAGAAAGAGTTCAGCACGTGCCCGCAGCTGCGATCATTCAGCCTTGCCAAATACGCAGGGGGGGTGGGGTTTAGGGTTTAGGGTTTAGGGTTTAGGGTTTAGGGTTTAGGGTTTAGGGTTTAGGGTTTAGGGTTTAGGGTTTAGGGTTTAGGGTTTAGGTTAGGGTTTAGGGTTTAGGGTTTAGGGTTTAGGGTTTAGGGTTTAGGGTTTAGGGTTTAGGGTTTAGGGTTTAGGGTTTAGGGTTTAGGGTTTAGGGTTTAGGGCTTAAGTTTTATAGGGAGCGTGGTGATCTTTTGTGATCTTCTACATAATGGCCCCATTCTGGATTCCCTGTCCTCCCAAAAGTGCTATGATAGAGGCCAAAAAGGTCCATAGTTTTGAGGTGCCCAGATCCCTCAACCCTAAACCCTAAACCCTGAACCCTAAACCCTAAACCCTAAACCTTAAACCCTAAACGCTCAACCTCTCAACGCTACAATGTTGAGTTTGCCACATCTGGACTGACATTTTCGGGTTTGGGGTTTAGGGCTCAGGGTTGGAAATTCGGGGGTTGGGCTTTCGGGGTTTAGGGTTCAGAGTTTAGGAGAACAGATGTGATATCGCCCGACTTAGGTTTGGATCAGACGGTTAAACATCTACACCCTAAACACCTATAACGCCTAAACGCCGAATCTCCAAACCCACTGAACCCCACACCCCGCTGGACCCATGTCCCAACCCCACGCACAAATTATTGGTACAGGAGCCTTGCCTAGCAACTTCGGAGATCTGCAACTCAACGTTTTAAGCTGGCCCTGAAGCCCGATTGAACAACATTACTAATGTGCCTGACTTCTTAACCCAAAAAGCCCTAAAGATGAGCCTCCCAAAGGCCTACAGGGATTGACATGTGCAAGCCCCAAACCCTAAACCCTAAACCCTAAACGCTAAACCCTAAACCCTAAACCCTAAACCCTATAAACCATAAGTGTCTACACTCCAGATGCCGCACTCTGCCTGCAACACAGGTCCGCGTTTGGATTGTAGACAGCCACCTCCGGGGCAGCCAGTTTAGCTGCTTTTCAAGGGAACCCAAACTACGGTTTAGGGGTTTAGGGTTGAGGGTTGAGGACAAACCTTCAACACTATATCGGGTATTTCCCAAGAAAAGGATCCCTAATATACCGACACTCATTGTTATAGGAACCCCTCCAAACAGGGTACCCCTCTTTTCGGCTCAGGCATGTTGTTTGGCTCAAGTGCGTTGCCCACGGGCACTCCTCATGCCCGGATCTGTTCAATCCTAAGCCGGAAGCACGATGCAATTTAGGGCTATGCAATTTAGGGCTTAGGGTTTTTGTTCATTCAAATTAAGGTTTAAGTTCATGAGTTACCATAACCATGACTATAGGAACCGAAGCAACAAGGGTACCCCTGCCCTATCTCGGAAAGCTCCCTGTACATCCTGGAATTGTTTTTTTTGTTTGGCTTGCGTCGCCCCCACGTACTCCGGAAGCCGGAAGCACTATGAGAAACCGGTTTTAGGGTTTAGGGTTTAGGGTTTAGTGTGTGCCCGGTGCCCCCAAGAATCACATCTGCGAAATCGGGCCGGCCTCGTAGTATCTTAGTGTCCCAACGACTAGCTGACTCAACTGCTGCTGGGATCGCAACGCTGCTTGCGCCCCTTTGCGGTTTAGGGTTTAGGGTTTAGGGTTTAGGGACGTTGCCCGTGGTTAACCTTCCTGACGCAGCGCATCGGCCGCACATCTTGCAGGAAGAACTCTGCGAGGAAGTTGCGCCAGTGGCAAGTCCAGGTTCATACGCCACAGTACTCCCTGCCGCGGTCGCGGCTCCAGCGTGTTGCGGCAAACCCTAAACCCTATAAAGCCTAAACCCTAAACAAGCAACAACTTGCACTCAACCCCCTGAATGAGGGAATGAGGGTCCTATATAATCCCTTAAAGGTATACATAGGGCCCTCATTCCCTCATTCCCTACTAAGAACCAGGGGGAAAAGTGAGCATCGGGCTGCCAGAAGAGAACAGGCACAACCGTGCAGATGTGCTGCCGTGACCTTGAGCTTGCCCATTTGGCGCAAAGATGCCCCGATCACATATTCATCTTACTCTCATTGCTTGCATCACACTTTAACAGCTCTAAACCCTAAGCCCTAAGCCCTAAACCCTAAACCCTAAACCCTAAACCCTAAACCCTAAACCCTATGCAAGCGCCTCCTCTGAGCCGGCTCGGTACTTATCGGGGCAGATGCCGTTCACGCAGCAGCAGTGCTGCTCCGCCTGGCCCCGGGGTTTGTAGAAGTTTTGGGGGGTTTAGGGTTTAGGGTTTAGGGTTTAGGGTTTAGGGTTTAGGGTTTAGGGTTTAGGGTTTAGGGTTTAGGGTTTAGGGTTTAGGGATGTTTAGGGTTCAGAGGGTTTAGGGTTTCGGGCTCAGGGTTCTCAAAATTTGGGTGCTGCCTCGAAACTACCCCCAATTAAGTACAATCCTCTTCATAAGGATCCCCCCAAAATAGGCACAATAGGTACCATGGAAGATTTCGGAAACTCCGGTCAGGAATTTGGTCGGGTTTCGCGGGCTTTGGCGGGGTTTTCTTTCAGAGATGAAAGCTGTGGCATGTGTTCCAAGTAGTCCCTTCCATAGGTTTCGGGTCCTTGCCGTGGTGAGTTTGAGTGCTATCGCTTCTTGCTGATGAGGTTGGGGTAAAGAATCCCATATTATGTGTATTAGTATTGGTATCATTTTTTGCTGCTATTGTCATTGTTCACTACTACGATTATGATTACTGTTGTTCTTCTTTTGAGAAGGTGTTCTTCATTTGAGAACATGGTAAAGGGTTTAGGGTGTAGGGTTAGGGGTTTAGGGGTTAGGGGTTTAGGGTTTCAGGTTTCGGGTTTCGGGTTTCGGGTTTAGGTAACATGGTATTTAAGAAGCATAAGGCAGTTTGGCACTTTCTCTGAGTCGGTGGACAGTGCTACACAAAAGATGCGCAACGTTAGCTGCTCAAGACTGAAACTTGCACAAGACCAGGGTTTAGGGTTTAGGATGTAGGGTTTATAGGGTTTAGGGTTTAGGGTTTAGGGGCTAGGACCAGCGGCATACCGCACAGCTCAAAACCCCCCGCACCCCAAACTCTGAGCAACTCTCGCTCCCTCCAGCTTGGTAGTAGACACCTCGTCCTAAACTGTGAAACTCGCCACGTCAGGATCCTCGCAAGCACAGCTAACGGCCCTAAACCCGAAGCCCTAAGCCCTAAACCCGAAGCCCGAAGCCCTAAGCCCTAAACCCTAAACCCCAAACCCTAAACCCCAAAACCTAAACCCTATAAGGATCTTCCGCGCCTCACGCACTTCTAGGGAGACGTGGTCTGCCTTCAGGCTGCCATGATAGGGTTCCTAAGGGAGGGGGTTTAGGGTTTAGGGTTTAGGGTTTCGGGTTTAGGGGGGGTTCAAGGGGGGGGTATGTAGCCCAAGGTTGACCAATACTCCCCACTACTCCCTAAGGCTCCCCCCCCTAAACCCTATAAACCTATAAACCCTATAAACCCTATAAACCCTAAACCCTAAAACCCTCCCTTAAGAACCCTAGAGCGCTTCAGCTGCGCCATGCTGTGCCCTCACCCCTAAACCGCCCTAAAACCCTACCATAGGGGTCGGAATACTTACTGCTCGTACTCCCTTAGGGTCCCTGTAATGAATATACGATCATAACCCGGCCAAAACCCTCTTTGCAGTACTAAGGCCCCGGTAAACCCTACACCCCGGCACCCTAAACCCTAAACCCTAAACTCTAAACCCTAAACTCTAAACCCTAAACTCTAAACCCTAAACCCTAAACCCCTAAACCCCTAAACCCTAAACCCCTAAACCCTAAACCTTACATCGGCACCTTGGGAGCACCTCGGGGGCGCCTGGGGATCTTCTTCGAGCTCGTTTTCAACTCAAAGCCCTGGTGTAGCTTTTGTTTGCTTTTTTTAAAGGTACTTCTTTCTTGAAATAAGGATGAAAGGGCAAATAATGGAAGCAAATAGTAACAGTAAGAATCGTAGAAACACGAATCATGGAAACACACAGTAACATTCTGAATAAGAGCCCTTAAGCCGAGGTGGTGTAGCTTAGGGTTCTATAGGTACCTTTTCTAGGTTGCCCAGTGACCAAGGATTTAAAAGGGTGCTCTCTTTCGGGCTTTAAAGGGGCTTATAAGGGAACCTACACCCCCCAAAAAACGGAATCAGGGTCCTACCGGGCATCCTTGTTTTTCCTTATAACCCCAAACCCATAAGAGCATATTGGATGTTTATCGGTGCCTCTGTCTGTAGCTAGGGCCCTAAACCCTAAACCCTAAACCCTAAACCCTAAACCCTAAACCCTAAACCCTAAACCCTAAACCCTAAACCCTCCGAAAGGGGCCAGCTGGGGGCATGCCAGGTCCCTTGCGCCGGACGGGTTCCCCAACTTGGTGATGCTGGATGGACCCTCATCCCTACTTGGAGGTTCACGGGTATTGAGGGCTTGGGGTTTAGGGTTTAGGGTTTAGGGTTTAGGGTTTAGGGTTTAGGGACTGACAAGTAGGGTTCGGATTTAGGGTTTAGGGTTTAGGGCTAGGGTTCAGGGTTACTTGGAGGTTCACGGGTACTTAGAAGCAGGGTTGCAAGTACCCTAAGTAAGGTTGTAACCATACTTATCCTACTTATAGCCCTACTCAGAAGTACCCATGAAGCTCCAAGTAACCCTAAACCCTAGCCCTAAAACCTACACCCTAACCCTACTTAGAAGTACCCATGAACCTCCAGGTAGATCCTAAACCAAAAGCCATGAGGAGGCTGGGGTTTTGGGCATCTCGGACTTGGCGGGGTGAATGTCCTTAACCGAAATCTCACCGGGGGTTTGGGGAGGGGTTCTAAACTAGGGTCCTTTTTGGGCCTCCTATACCCTACTGGATAAGACGATTAGATTAGGCAGGTTATAACCCTGGCTATAAGTCGGGCAACCCATGTTATAACCCCGATAACTTGACCCAAAGTTCACCCCTAACTTCTCTACTACTTATATCCTTAGTTACTGGGGTTAGGGGTGAGTTATGTAAGTGTGCCAGGGGAGTTATAAGTTAGTTAGGGTTTAGTTATAGTCAAGTTAGGGTCTAGTTGCGGGTTCGCGTTATTGTTGCTTCTGCAGAAGCCATTGTTGGCCGAGAGCGGGTCATTTTTTGGTGGCAGCTTTACTGTCCATGCGTGCGCTGAGTGTGGGTTTAGCGAGGATGGCTGGCGTTGTCGTTTGAGGTCAGCGCAGGAAGTGTTCTGAAAGAGAAACGTCAGTCGCACGTCTTGCTGCCATTTGCTGTCGTTTGTGTTCAAGCCGAAGTGTCATTTGGTCATGAACGCAATACGGAGATCGCACCACGAAAGGGTGGAGCGACGGCGCTTGCAGCTGATATCCTTTGCGAGGTATTGCATTTTCATTTCACACCATGCCCACCCTTTCGTGGTGCGATGTCCGTATTGCGTTCATGACCCCAACTGACACTTCTTCGGCTTGTGTCGACAGCAAATGGCGGCAAGACGTGCGTCTGCGTTTGTTTTCAGCTTTGGGGCCCTGTCGGCCCGGTGTCGGCCTGTGTCGGCCCGCTTCGGGGACTACGCTGGCTGGCCCTGGGTCCGCGTGTCGGCCCGTGTCGGCCCAACGGTTTTCCATGGTTATTACTAAGGATTTTAACGGTTTCCCTTTGTCGGCCCGTGTCGGCCCATCGGCGCGCATGATTAGGTGTTTGGGCTCCTGTCGGCCCGGTGTCGGCCTGCTCTGCCAGCCAGATCCCAAAAAACCATGTTTCCTTCCGAAAAAACATGTTGACTGTCGATGCTCCTTCTGAGTCTTGGTGACGACTGAATGAATTTCCTGGTTTGCCCGAAGCAGCTGGCTCAGTCCTTCTTGTCTTCTGCCTCGACTCCTTGAAGCCATGATGGCCGAGGTGCACCAGTATGAGGCTGAAGACCCCTTGCCGGCCCAAGAAGATGCGGAAGCTTCTCCGGGTGAGGCGTTGGTGCCAGCACCGAAAAAGGAAAAGCTTTGCCAGCTTTTCCGCTGTGTCTGCAGCCCCGACCTGGCCGATAGTGTTTCTTCTTTCCAGCCTTGCCAGCAGAATCCCTGGACCACGCCTGCCTGGCGGCGGCTCACCTCCTCTGCTTGCATTGAAAAGGTGTGTAAATCTGCCAATTTCGGTCCTACATGGCAAGCCATCAACACCTTGAAAGACAAAAACACACACCGGCGAAAACATAGTTAGGTCGAAGTTACGGATCCACCCTAGCTAGGTTATCAGTTACTTAACATAACTAGAGTATAAGTCACTTATAACCCCGGTAACCGAAACGTCTTATCCAGTAAGGGTCCATGTACCTCATGATTATATACTCGGGCCCTAAAGTCCCTGAAGAGGTACTTTAAGGCCCAAGTAAATAACAACTAGGTACTTGGACCCTTAGGGATGTAATGCGGCACCCCTTTGTAATAAGGGCCCAGAGATGTAGAGAACTACTATGGGGGTCGGAATAAGTACTAATAGTATTCCCTCCTGGTCCCTTTTTAAATTCTACTAGAATAATCCCAAAAACCCTATTCTAATCATTAAGGCCCCTATATTATACTCCCCTTTGAACCTTAATAAAAAGAATACTTTTAATGTCCTCTTGGGTTTTATATTATCGAAACCCAAAAAATCCCAAATACCCACAAGGTATCCCGCACACCCTAAACCCTAAACCCTAAACCCTAAACCCTAAACCCTAAACCCTAAACCCTAAACCCTAAACCCGCGCAGACCCACAGCGGTGCCTGCACGGCCCTGCGGCCGGCAACAACGCCCGACAGGGCCCAGAGGCAGCTAAGGGCGCCGAAGCTTCTCATGCCTGGTCCAGGGTTTAGGGTTTAGGGTTCATAGGCTCTAATATGTGATGCAGGGCCTGCCCTAAACCCTGAAGCCTAACAAACAAGTAGGGCCTTATAAGCTTGTTCTAGGATGGTGGACTACTATTTGCTTCAGAACCACCAAGAAATCTACATATGTTCTTCATTCTAAGGGTGATATAGGGATTATCATTTGTGTTTTTGGGTTCTTACGCAAGTAGTACTTGATATGGACATGATCAGCATGTAGGGCCTCTGCGGAGATAGAGCACCTCCAGCATGACGTTACAGCAGCGGCCCTATATAGAGGGCCCCAGAAACTCTAAACCCTAAACACTAAACCCCAAACCCCAAACCCTAAACCCTAAACCTGACGGCCCCGTCCGGGACCCGGCCTCGGCTATGAACAGCGTAGTTGGCAAAGAACATGGCGTGAGCTGGGAGCCCGCGTCCGAAAGCGGAAAGCCACATGGGAGTTTCAGAAATTAGGGGTACCCCTCTGAGGGCAAGCTTGGGGTTTAGGGTTTAGGGTCTAGGGTCTAGGGTTTAGGGTTTAGGGTTTAGGGTTTAGGTTTTGGGTTCTTGAGGGTTTCAGAAATTCGGGGTACCCTATTGGGATCCTTATTCTAAGGGGATCCTGCCAATTGGGGATCTATATTGGGGGTCCCCTACATTCGTAAACCCCCACATGGAGGAGTTTGGGTTTAGGGTTTTACTTAGGGGGCCTGGGGGGTGGGGGTTAGGGGGTTCCAGCCAGTTCCAGCCTCCGGCTTTGGGGACTCACACCCTAAACCCTAAACCCTAAACCCTAAACCCTAAACCCTTAACCCTAAACCCTAAAACCCCTAAGGGGTTTTACGAGGACTTTTGGACTTTAGGGCCTCTAAGAGGCTAAACCCAAAAACCCAAACCCAAAACAAAAACCCTAAACCCGATTTTGCTCAAAGCCCTCTTTGGGCTTCGGAACTTCAGGACTTCAGGGCCTAAGAGACTTGCCTATCTTTTACCCGCTTTTGGGCGTTGTATGAGGATTTTAGGGTTTTGGGTTTTTGAGGTTTAGGGTTTCGGGGTTAGGGTTTGGCAGTTGCCCAGACACTCGGTCTTTTGTGTCGATGAGCTTTCCCACATCCTGCCCCCACTTGAGAGGTTCAGGGTCCAGGGTTGTTTGGGGTTAAGGGTCTAGGGTTCAGGGTTAAGGCTTTGTAGGCTCTGTTCGATTTTAAGGCTTAGGAAAGTTGAGGGTTTAGGGAGGTTTTGGGTTTGGCGACCAGTAGCCCTGCGTTGTTCATGTGTGAAGTCCGCCTGCAGATGAGGAGTTCTCTAGTTGGGGTCCCTTTTGCCTCCCACATCTAGCACGGCACCCCTATGATGCGGACCCCCGAAAGGGACCCGGATTTTCCCAAAGAGCCCAATATTGCTTAAATAGGAAATATACCTTAAATCATATTAAGGATCCCTATATAATTTAAGGTATATTTCGTAATTAAGCAATATTGGGCTCTATGGGTTGAGAACCGCCCATGCTGCCGCTGCATGCTCGCGCAGAGTCAGGCAGAGTCGTGCAGGCTCGGCGCCTCCGATTCCTGCGCAACCCACCCACCAGCCAAAAGCGACCGTCAACATCACTTTCACAGCTCTATATTAAATATTTGCTGGCAACTATGTATGAGTTTTTGAACTTGTTGATTTCAGATCTGAAAATGCTGAAGTCACAGCCGTAAGGCTTAGATTGCTGCTAGATGAGCACTTTGGAGTTTTTGATTTCGCGTGCATGTTCGCAGTGGAACCCTGAAACCGAAAGCCTGAACCCTAAACCTTAATCCTAAACCCTGAACCCTCAACCCTAAACCCACTAAACCCCAAAAACCCAAAACCCCCAAATCCCCCCCAAGCCCCCCCAAACCGCCCAAACCCCCCAACCCCCAAAACCCCCAAACGCTAAACTCCTTGGCCACCGGTTGCTCGAAATCTTGTCGTGGACGTGGCGGCCTGTCAGGCAGAGGGCTTCGAAACTACAAATCAGGTTTGAGGTTTAGGATTTGTTGTTTATGGGGTCTGCGCCCCATGTCTTTTACTAAGAGTTGTACAGGGAGCACTCAGAGAGCCCCCCCAACCCCCCCCCCACCCACCCCTCCACTGCCACAGTTGTAGGATATAGGCCCTAAACCCTAAACCCTAAACCCTAAACCCTAAACCCTAAACCCTAAACCCTAACGGGCTTCGGGTTCAAGGCCCCACCTTAGGGACGCAAACTCCGAGGAGGGTGTTTCGGGTATGGGGTTTCAGGCCTCACCTTCGAAAATCAGAACACTCCCTAGGTTTAGGGTTTAGGGTTTAGGGTTTAGAGTTTAGGGTTTATGTGGGGTTTAGAGTTTAGGGCTTAGGGTTTAGGATGTTGGGTTTAGGGTTTAGGTGGTGCCTTTAAGCTTTGAAGATATGACCTACGTACAGCTACAAGGGCCACTGGGGCCTCAAGCTCGAGGACTCCGTGCGGGAGGGGGGGGAGCTGTCCTTGGCACCAAAGAGGAATCGAAATGAGCAAGCGCCGAACCCTGGAGCTTCAAATCTCTGACCTTTAAACCACTAAACCACTAAACCCCTAAACCCTAAACCCTAAACCCTAATATTGAACCCTGTTTAGTGTAGGGCCCTCCTCCCCTGAACAGTCGAGGCTGGATTTTTGCCCTGTTTAGACGGAGCCAGGGGTTTATATGATTTTTCTCGGGATGAGTTTATATAAGTTTAATTGGGATCTTTTTGCATTTAAAAGGGATATTCTTATCTAAATTTCAAAGGTGTCCGTATGATTTGACAAGGGATGAGCTTCTATGAATTTAAAAGGGGTCCATATGAATTTAAACGGGATGAGCTGATATGAATTTCAAAGGGATCCGTGCGAATTGAAAAGGCAGCCGGGATGAGTTTAAGTTTTGCAAATTCGGAGCCTCCGGGCCGGGGCCTTGACATAAAACAGGGTGCCAAATCAGTGCCTGCTTAACAGGGTCCAACATTAAAACCTAAACCATGAACCCTAAACCCTAAAGGAAAAAGCAAGGACCTGCGCTCGGGGCGTCAGCTGCGTCTGCAGTCGCCCGGATTGCCATGTCGGGGCAGCCTGCAGAGCTGGATGGGGAATGCTATGAGATGACGTGGACGATGACGATGATGCTGCTGCTACTGATGATGCTCATGATGATGGTGATGATGATGGTGATGATGAAGCTGCTGATGACGACGACTGCTGCTGCTGGTGATGATGATGGCGAGGAGAGGTGCATCAGGACGAGACAATGAGGATGATTGGGTTTAGGCTTAGGGTTCCAAGTCTGGTAGCTGAATTATTAATAGGGATGCTGAGGTTGCTCGGCTTTGTTTCACGCGTGCTGTTTGTGCTCTACATGTTGGAACTGAGAGTATATGATGAAAGCCTCTTCCGTAGGTACGGTGGCTAGTTGCTCGAGTACGTTTACCGCACCTGCACCCCGAACCCGCCAAGGACAGTCCAAGGCACTCGAAGCCCGCGTAAAGCCCAGCTCTAAAGCCTGAACTAGTCCCTGAACCCACGGAGTCTCCGGTTTAGAGCTAGAAAGGGAATACACCCACTCTAGGATGCTCAGTAACCCAGGATTAAAAAGGGTACCCTTTTTGCTTAAAGGGGTTTATAAGGGAACCTAACCCCCAAAAAAAGGGAAGACGGGCACACTACTGGGCATCCTAGCCACTCCAAACTCTCCTTTTCTCCCCCTCTCCCCCGTTCGCTTCCACAGCCTGGTCGGGAAGCTTATTCTGCTGTTGCAGGGCCAGAGGGCGAGTCCTGCAAGGTTTTGGGGGCTGGGATGTTCCCCCGTGTACTAGCAGTCCTTAATAGGGATTATCATAGGGGGTACTCTATCTAAACCCTAAACCCTAAACCCTAAACCCTAAGCCCTAAACCCTAAAAAGGACTGCTAGTAGAAGGGCGAACATCCCAAGTTTAGGGCATCGAGGGTGCAGGCTTTAGAATGGGCAGGGGCCCTGCGATGTCTTGTGGGGTGTTAACTGCCTGTGGGGACTGGGATCTTAATTGGGAAGGGTTTAGGGTTTAGGGTTTAGGGTTTAGGGTTTAGGGTTTAGGGTTTAGGGTTTAGGGTTTAGGGTTTAGGGTTTAGGGTTTAGGGTTTAGGGTTTAGGGTTTATAGGGTTTGGGGTTTAGGGTACCCAGCACTGCACACGTAGTTGCCCTGCATGAGGCATCGAAGGACATCACACTGTATGGGCTGCAAGGGGGCGTTTCAGCCTTCTTACTTCCGGAATGAACATTCCCCCATCTCCTTGCAAAGCACCGAGTGGAGAAGCCTGGGTCAAACGCACACGTTCCCTACAATAGGCGGCCCAAAAATCAAACCATGTAAACAAAAGGATTTTTTCTTCTGTGGTTTCTGGGCCCCGAATACAAGGGCCCATAATGTGGCGTGCAATCAAGACTACATGGGCCGTCCTCTCAATTAGGCTCCGTTTTGGGGGGCATCCTTGTTATAAGGTGTCGTACTATATAGGGACCTAGAAAAGAACCGAGTTTAGAGAACTACTCCAGTTTGAGGAGGTTTTGAGGCGTTAGGGATGTAGGTCGGCGAAAACAGGGGCTGCAGGGTGTAGAGGAGCACCTCTGGGGGGGGGGGGGGGGGGGGGGGAGGATATCACTTCAGACCCCGCGAAATGCCGCCAACAGTTTGAAAGGAGCTGTGGCAGGTAGAGTCCTCGTGCCACCTGACCCACCCTGAGATCTCCCTTGCTTAAACGTTGGCACCCTCAAAGGGGGGGGGAGTGTAGGAGAAGTAGGACATTCCCTAAAACCCCCAAAATCCCTAAAATCTCCACAGCCCTAAAACTACATCAATGGGCCTAAAGCCCTACCCTAAACCCTAAACCCTAAACCCTAAACCCTAAACCCTAAACCCTAAACCCTAAACCCTAAGCTTCCCAAACGTTTCTGGGCAGCATCCCCCTTCGGCAGCTGAGATCCTCGCTGACTCAAAGGCAAGGATGCAGCTCTGGGGGAGAGAACCGTCCTGGCAGCCCTATGGGTTTGGGGTTTGGGGTTTGGGGTTTGGGGTTTGGGGTTTGGGGTTTGGGGTTGGGGGTTTGGGTTTGAGGTCTAGGGAAGTAGGATTGGGGAATGAGAGGATTAGGTACCTTCTCTCCCCGAAAAGACGCTTTTACAGATTTTAATTTTGATGATTATGCAGGGTAATTATCTCCTTCCCTACTAAGAACCAGTGGGCCAATTATACCCGAAACCCTAAACCGGAGTTTAATCTCAAATGCTAAGCCCCAAGTCCGAACCAAATCCGAAACCCTGAACCGTCGACCATCAACCCTGAACCCTGATTGAATCTAAAAAACCTTGCAGCCTAAACCCTAAACCCTAAACCCTAAACCCTAAACCAAAA